ACCTTGTCTATTGTATTTTTGCTGCATGCTTTGGTATTTCTTGTTGTGGGTCCTTTTTTTTTTGTGGTGAGTCAAGATGGTTCTTCTCATCCTCAGCATTTCATTGCATTGTTGACCTTGTGTTGATTTTTGCATATGACAAATCAACCAAACCCAAAACCAATGAAAGTGGTTCACAAGTAGCCATCTTCATGAAAAGTTAGAGTTTTTCAACTCATATCAACTTGCTACATTCCACCACAAAATTATGTCATACAAGTGTGGAGCCTATATAATAAATTTATTTCTGATCAAGTTGGACCTCCTTGACTGATAACTCTAGAAACTACATGGAAAACAGGAAGAAAAAAACAACAAGTATATGTGTTTCACTATCTCCAGATGTGCATCTTTTATATAAACAAAACCAAAGAAAATCTCAAGTGTGGTTTTGTTTTTTCCATCAGTTTTATGTGAAGGAAGTCCAACTTGTGTCCTGCTGCTTTTTTTCAGGCTTGGAGGGTTATGTGATTGTGGGAGACTATGCATCTACACACTCTTTCTGCCCATGTTTGTGCACGTTTAAGTAATCAACATTGTTTTTTCCCAGTTTCCCAGTAATAATGAGTGAAGAAAGGACAACAGCCAGCAGGGGACCTATTATTATCATTTGGCCACATGATGGAAGAATCTAAATAAGAAATGTAATCATTTCCCTGAGAAGCACATAAGTTGAACCAGGAATCGAATGAAAATATTGTATTAGTGATTGGATAGCTTATAAATCATGTGTGCCAGTTAAATAAGAATAAAAAATGAAAATCAAATGAATAAAAGTTGTAACTCTATTCTGGTTTGGACTGAGATGAAAGGGGGGCACGGGTGGGAGGTGGGGGGTTGTTGTGATAGAAAGGGAGGGACGTTGTATTCAGTATCCTCTTTAGTAATTCAAAATTACTTCACTCAAAAACAGAGAATTCCAGACTGAACAAAAACACAGCACACCCTTGCTCAAAAGACTGAGTACATTATTAGGTTTAGTGAAAAGAAACAATGGGATTTTCCAAGAAACTTAAAAAAAAAAAAAAAAGAATGGTTTTAGTTCACAGTTAAAATTCCCCTGTACCAATGACTGTTTCTGAAAACTGAACACTTTTAAAGTGTGCGTTGCCAAAAAATTAAATAAACTATTATAGTCTTAAAGTGATTTTGGTTTCACTCTACACCAGGGCCACATTTACTGAAAGTCAAGCGCTCAGGTGCCGGACATCAGCAGATATTGGCATTACGTATGTTTGTTTTATGGTTTAAAATCTAGTTTTATTTGAAAATGAACTAGATGTGTTATTTCTAACCTGAACCTGGAGCCGGCTCAACCTGGATTAGGGCCGGGCTTGGCCATAATAACGTGCCGGCTGGGTAGGTGTCTGGCTTTTGATTGAGTCAGCGGATGCAAATGGCTGACGATCCAATTATATGGCAACATGGCTTGCCTTATACCACTAGCCTCACAGGGCCATTTGACCACGCGCTGACCGGCCTTGAAAGAGGTAAAAAGTTCAGTTAAGCTTCAGATGGACTACTGCCAGCAACCCATCAGCCCAAATGGACGTTCATTCAGCCGCTGTACTCAGCAGACGTGCACGGCCGATGACCCAAACAGGTGAGATTACAAAATATTCAACATGTCAGAACTGAATAATGCAGAATGCAGGCAGAAGCAACTTCGATCTTCTGCCCCCTTTACTCAGTCGCATGCTTCGCCAACTTTTAATAACTATATAAGCAGTCAAAGCTTAATTTAAAATGGCAGGGTTTTTTTTCGGGTTCGGACCTGTAATTACTGTTATCTCGTCGGGTCGGGTGGGGTTAAAAAAACGATGGCTTTGGGCTGGGGCCAGGTCAGATTTTTTTGGGCCCTAATGCAACTCTGAAATGAACCCATTGGTAAGCAGAACTGAGCTCACCTGTGGGCTGGATTTGGCCCCTGGGCCGCCAGTTGAATAGCCCTGCTCTACACCTTATTTTTAGGTGAATGTGCTCTGCGAATTTGCTAACCAACCTAACTCCACGCAAAACACTCCCAGAAAGCTGTAATTTAACCCGTCTGCAAAGTTCTTACCGGTTTGCTAACAGAGTGGCACTCTATTCACTTTTTGTTCCTTTTTTTAGTGCCATATCAACTTTTTGTTCCCAAATCATAAATCATTTGGAACATATTGCATATTTAATTGATTTTTTTTATTTATTTTTATGATTCCAGCAAATATTGCAGAATAATTTTTGAAGGACTGACATAAAATGCATCAGCAATTGCAATGATCCCATGCATGTTCATGTTTTTATTCAACCATTATGTATTGATGAAAGCTTGTTGAACAATTTATTTGTATTTGTAATAATCCATCCATTCATTATATTTTACCCGCTTCTTCCTTTTTGTGTCATGGGGGTCACTGGTGCCCATATCCAGCCATCACTGTGTGACAGGTCTCCAGTCCATCACAGGGCCACATAGAGACAAGTCCCGTTTAAAAACTCCCTACTATTCGGTGGCTTTCAACACCAGACGATCTGTGTTTTGAACCTGTATGCTCCACACTGGTTGGTCGTCATTATCTGCATCGTTTTTATGTCTATATTCTGATTTACTTCATTTTGTATTTTGCTTTGTTTGTTACCTGTTGTTCTGTCTGTACAGCTCTTTGGTTGGCCTTGTCGCTGTTTTAAGTGCTCTATAAATAAAATGGTATGGTATGGTAAGACAAACAACCATTTGCTCTCTCACTCACACCTAGGGACAATTTAGAGTTACCAATCAGCCCTGTTTGCATGTTTTTGGTCTGTGGGAGGAAACCGGAGTACCCATATAAAACCCATGCATGCACAGAGAGAACAACATTACTTTGCAGTTGGTGTACAGGTCACTGGTTGAAAGTGTTGTTTCATTTAATGGTATGGGAACCTCCAAGCCAGAGACAGGAACAAATTGTCCCGGGTGGTCAAACAAGGTAGTAAAGTCATTGGTCATCAACAAATGACACTTACAGACCTGTGCAGTCAGGTTCTGGACAAAAAGGCAATACAGGTTTACAATATCCCAACTCATCCACTGCAACCATTATTCAGGTTGGTATCATCTGGCAGAAGACTGCTGGTTCCTTTAGCAAAGAAAAATGGGTACAAACAGTCATTTGTTCCCTCTGCAGTGAATGTACTTAACAAGGTCCTATTTAAACGCAGCCTCACATAACAAACCACTGTCTGCTGGGATGTTTCTATATTTTAATATTTCAATGTATTGTGTATTTTAGAATGGTTTTAACTGGATGTTTTTAATTGATTTAGCAAAGCTTGATTTTAAAGTTTTTTTTTTTTCACGTTTTTATCTTGTGTTGTTTTATAAGCCAGATGTCAAAGACAAATCTCCATTTCATTGAATGTTATGGACAATAAAGTTTAACTGATTGATTGATTGATTATGCAAACTCCACCCACAAAGGTCCCAGGCCAGAATTTGAACCAGCGACCATCTCTCTGAAAGGCAACTGCTCTACCAACTGAGCCACCGTGCCGCCCGTTGTAATAATCTACAGAGAAATAAATAGTAACAACTTACTGACTTGCCATAATGGGAAAACAAACACTTTCAAGCCCAGAAGAAAAAAAAAATCATTCAAATTCTTAGTAGTTTATCCATTTACCTGTCTAAATAAAGGTTGAATGAATTTAACGTAGCACACACCCCACTACCACAAAGAAACAAGAACGAGCCATCAAGCAGTACCAAGAACCCTTCCGCTTAGGTTAGGCAAGGAGAAACAATAAAACGTCTCTAAGCAACAGAGAAAACACAATGTCCACTTTTCTACATACTGTGGAAAAGTGAGAACATCTTGGTGCTCTCTGCTGTGGATTAGGACCAGAGTAAAAACAACATATGCACCAGGATGCGATAACACAGCACGTAAGAGACAAATCACATGGAATGTTTTGTCTAGGACCAACACATCCTGCTTCCAGGCACTCAGAAGAACTTTTCCCACAATTCCTGCTCTAACTTTATAGCGAATGAGCCACTCTTCTTCTATTCTGTGTCAGGGGAAAAAAAAGCAAGAAGACATAAAATAAAATGATTAAAAATAACTTTTTGCCAGTGCAAACTATTGTTATGAATTGGTGTTTATTAAAACATTTTATGAATGGGTTTAAAAGACAAACTGCCTGTGCTGACTTACAGTATAATTTACAGAAGGACAGTGAAAAATGGCATCACTGTGTGTGACACTTGCAGTCGTACTAAGCAGACACTGTGCTTGGTCCGAATGCAGAGGCTCAACACATTCTTTGTTCCTGTATAACCAGTGACTCAGTTTTTGCACTCTGATAAATGAAGTTTGAACGTCTTGGTAGACAATATTGAAAGTGGTGTTGAAGTAGTAAATCAAATGCTGGAGAGAAATAATAGCTGGGTAGATAGATGTGGCTTATTATCAATCAGTAAGTGTTTGCAATTTGGAGAAACAATACAACGTAAAACGCCTTGAAAAAAGTCAGATAAACAAATTAATCTACAATATTCAGCAACTAAATCTAGCAACTAAAGTGCATCCAGAAACTGATTCAAGAGATGCAACATTCATTTCCAATAATAATATTTGCATGTTTTATGATGTGGAAGAAAAATGGCTCTTTGGTTCATCAGTTGACTCAGATATCTATTTAGGTTGATATTAGGTAAATTCAGAGACCACAGCATATAGTTTGCATTTAATTTATACTGAAACCCTGAACAGATACCCTTCCCCACCCTTCATTCCCAATGCCTTATGAATATGATTTGCTATTTAAGATAAGCACATATCTTTATCCAGTTGTGGTAACATGGAATTATTATTTAGTGACCTTTTCCTTGCAAGAGACACATGGGCTCAAAGCAATAAAATAGACAGAAAGACAGTCAAATAGATATATACTGTACATAGACAGAGGGCATAACATTGTTGACAAATCATTCTTACCCAACACAATGGCCACGGTTTTCAGCAGTGACATCATTGTATCTCTGTTGCGTCTTTGTCCAGAGCTGTGCCGCGACATCCTCATGGTTCTCTGTCGTACATAGACAAAAATGTGGGCATACAGTGTTACCATGACCACAAAAGTCACCAGGTTAAACACTGCCCAGAAGACCAGGTAGGAGTTGCTATAAAGAGGAGCCATGTTGGAACAGGTTTTAAGGCTACAGATACAGTTCCACCCCAAGCTGGGGATTGCCCCCATCACAATGGACATAGTCCAGATTATGACAATCACCACCACCACACGTCGGTTGCTCATACGTGTGTGAAGCTGCATTCGAAAGACAGTGATGTGCCGCTCGATAGCAATGGCCAGTAGGTTGGCCACAGACGCTGTTAGACTTGTATCAATCAAGCCTTGGCGCAGCAACCATGTTGAAACGGTCAGATGCTTTGTGTTTGGTCCTGTGTTAAACATCAAGTAGAAGTATGCCAATCCAGCAAAGAAGTCAGCAGCTGCAAGGTTGGCCATCAGGTAGTAAATAGGGAAGTGAAATCTCCTGTTGACATAGATGGCGACCATTACCAGGAGGTTGGCAAGCATGATGAAGATGCACACAGTAATGCCTAGGCCCATTACAAGCCGGCTGACAGTATTCCAGTCACTAGCGAGGGGTTTATCACTGCGGTTGTAGAAGAAGGCGATGGTTTCATTGTAGTAGCACTGCTCCTCATCCATGGTGGTAGTACTTACTGAAATTAAAAAAAAAAGAAATACTTTAGGGACTTATTGACATTTGATTGAAGTGGTTGAGGATGTATAAATATCATGCAGGAACATGAAACACTAAGCATTATTAAGTACCAATACTATATTTCACATTTTCACTTTTATATACATCCATTCATCCGTACATCCATTATCTTTACCCGCTTCTTCCTTTTTGGGTCACCGGGGTCACTGTTGACCATGAAGCAGGGGACACCCTGTACAGATCGCAAGTCCATCAGGGACGCCTAGACACAATCCATTCACTCTATCACTTACACCTGGGAACAATTTAGTTACCAATCAGCCTAACATGCATGTTTTGGTCTTTGGGAGGAAACCGGAGTACCTGCAAACCCAAGCATGCACAGAGAGAACATGCAAACTCCACCCAGAAAGGTCCCGGGCCGGGATTTGAACAGGCGACCCTCTCACTGAGAAGCAACCGCCCTATCAACTGAACCACCATGCTGGCCTGTAAAGGAAATCCTATTATTTTAATCAAGTTAGTAATATTTACCATTTTAAAAGTCTTATTTAATCTAGTCCAGTTGTGACAAAAACCTTTGATGAAATGCTCATTTATGCAGCTTGTTCAAAGAATTTAGACTCAATAGAAATCCCAAAGCGAAGCAATGGTTATAGCAGCTGAAAACTGTTGAGGTTTACTTGAGACTTGTTTGCATATTAGAAACTATTATGCACTGAGGCTAAAACCTAATATGCGTTTATTTATCTCTAGTCGAGAATGGGTTCATATCGTTTTATGTAAATTTTGGATTCCTTCTTCCATAACGTTTCGAGGAAACAGTGCTTTAAGAAGCAAATGCTTTTAAGTGGCATAAAAACTGTTTGTTTGCTAGATATTTGTGTTTGCATGTAGTACACTGACTGCTTCACAAAAAAATTAAAAAATCATAAAGTCATGAGTTGGATTTTTAGAGTTAAGAGCTGTGTTTCTTTCATCAAATACTTTTAATGTCTGCGGTTTTAAATCACTTCTCAGAATCCAAAGAAAAGTCAATATATTGAGCAGTAATATGATGCTTAGAGTGAACTCACTTGTGCACACAGACGGTGCTCTCATGAGCATGTGTGTATGTATAATAAGCTCCAGTCAGAGGCTGGCCAGTCTCTCTCATACACCCCAAACCGGAAACTGGACCTGAGGGCTGGTGTGGAGTCTGTTTGTATATGTTTGTTTGTGTGTAAGTGAGACAAAGACTATAGGGGGGAAAGGGAAGGAACTGGGGACAATTGAGACAACAAGGAATAAAGGAAGTAGAAGGTTTGGGTCAAACTTCTAATAGTTCCTTTGATTCACATTTTTACTGATCCACATTGAAAGAGGCTGTATTTTGCTCTGTGGAAATAAAACAAACATGCAAAACTGAGCTGCAAGCATCAAGAATGACCACTCTTCTTATGCTGAAGTTTAAGGTAAAAAAAAAAGAAAAAGTGTCACCTTCTCAATTCTTTAAAAAAAATACACTTGACCAAATAGACAGAATGTTGAATTTTTATAAGTAGAACGTAATGCTGCATGAACTGTACAGTTGACTCCCCCAACGTCCCTCTAAATGCTTGCATTGCTGATTCAACATGAGTGTGGGCTGCACCACAAAGAAAGTCCTAATAAATCAACTCCGCAGGTTTTCAAATTCTGTTTATGTCTTCAGTTTCCTGCGGGTGGCTGATAAGAAACATCTGCAGCCACATTTGCTTGGGATGGCAATAAAAAAAAAAGTCATTTAATTCAAACAGCATTTTCCGACGATGAACTGGATTATTGCTAACAGCAGACAGACTCACACAGGGTGGAAATAACGGCTTAATACCTAGGGTTTAAGTTTGGCAAGCATGCTGGAAAAAAAAAATCATCAAGCAAATTATTGACAACCAATTATTTTCAGTCATTGTTTTTCTAGCCATAGGTTTGTATAATCAGGATAGATTTTTATTTTAAATTTCAAACAGATTTTTCACCATTATTAAAAAAAATATTGGTTTTCTTACAGTCAAGAATCACTGAAACTGCTCTCTATGGTCATTTCTCATAATATGGATTAAAAATGAAAAGATTCCTTTCTCTTGATACCACTAGTAAAGATTAGGAAGATATTCCACAGACCTTCAAACAAAAAGGTCGTATTTGCTCACTTCTCTTACTCAGGTTATATATTTTTGTTGATAACATATTAAGCAATATTATTCTGTATGAATTAATTTTATACAGAATTAGTTCAATGATTGGCTAACAAGCTTGAGCTTTTATCAGAATGACTATATATATATATATATATATATATATATATATATATATATATATATGTTGTATATATATATGAACTATCTATTTTTTTTAATTATTGGGGACTGCCTATGGCAGCCACCTATTATTATCCACCTGACAAGAGTTTCTTAACTTGATATCTTACTCTCATGTCAACTTTAATGCGGCCCAAACCGCGACGTGTACCCCCACTAATTTTATATCAAAGCAACTGACTCAGCATTGTGCTTTTATTGGTGTTTAGAGTTACCATGGCAACATAATTTGCAAACAAAGACGCCATTTTTATTAATAATTTTTCATGGATCTGGTTGCAAATCAACTATCCAAGATGGCCACCTCAGCTGAAAAGTAAAAATACTGTAAATCAGCCATTTTCAGATTAAGCTGAACTTTGATGTAGTAGTAGCTGCAACCAGTGTCCAATACAAAAATGAATTAATAATACTGTAATTTCTGGACTATTGAGTGCACCCAAATTTAAGCCACACCCATTACATAAAAAAAATAATAATAATTTTGTAGGTTGCACTTGTGTATAAGCCACAGGTGTCCATGTTGTAACGTGAGACATTTACTCAGAAAGATTTTTTTTTTTAACTTTTGATTAAATATGTACTTATAACATACACAAATATGTACAGTAAATGTTTTTTGTTTGTTTGTTTGTTTTCTGAACAGTGCCGGTACCAAGGCTGGTTAAAAAAAAAATACAGTAGCCTACCAGCAAGTCATTGATTGCTATCGTCATCTTCCTCATGCAGAAGATTAAAAAAAAAAAAAAAAAAAAAAAAAACTGTTGTCAGCATCCACTGGCAGACTGGAGCAGAAGTTACTTCTTCTTTGCATGCTGTCAGTTTTGGTAAACAATTTCTCGCCACCAGTCTTCCAAGCCTCCCACCGAACTTAGAGTGTCACTTTAATACACGATTCACACCGATACCGAGTGGCTGTGAATACTTTGTTGTGCAGTTCCCCCTCCTCATTCTCTCCTCCACTCCTCGTTTCATTGGTCCTCTGTGACCTGTTTGGTAATTTCAATGGTCAGATTTTTTTTAACCTTTATTTATACAGGTAGTCATTGGGTCACGAGGACCCACCCCCCCAGGAGAGACGTGTATTGGACAGCTATGTGAGCGCCAGGGTGTGATGAGGCTAAATGTTTTGGTGGCATGAAGCTCGTTAGCTCATCAAAAAAAAAAAAACAACAACTATAAATTAGCCACACCGTTGTGTAAGCCGTAGGGTTCAAAGCCTGTGAAAAAAGTAGCGGCTTATAGTCGGGAAATTACGGTATTCATCCATTCAACCTTTATTTAAACAGGCTAGTCCAATCGAGCCACGAGGACTCATTTACAAGAGAGCCCTGGTAATTCAAGATGGCCACCAAAGCTAAATTTAAATGGCTTTAACTCAGCTTTTTTCCACATAGAGCTGAAATTTGATGTGGTTATAGCTGAGTACCTTCTCTATCACATACCTCCAAATAAAAAAAATCCAAAATGGTTACCATAGCTTAAAAATAAAACATGACTTAAAACTCATTGATATTTGGCAATTTTGAGCTGAAATTTGGTGTGGTGGTAGCAGAGAGCGAACCCGAACACAGTACTGTCAAATCATAATTTTAAAATGGTCACCATGGGGCAGTCGCCGTCAAAGTTTCTCCAGGAACTTTCTTATTTTGTCTGTGGTGACATCTTTTAAATAAAAATATTGAGCGTTTTGCAAACCTGCAAGTAACTGTGATGTTTTTAATCAGTCCTCACATCCAGATAATACAGTAACTAAGCAATCTGAGTTAGTGCAGGGAGCAGCTGAAAGATAGCAAGACCACTAATGAGCTATAAATCAGAAGTGACAAACTGATGGAGCCTCTGTGACAACTACCAGAACAGATGAAAGCTAATCTATTCTGCTTGTCTTGTGTGGTTTGTGGCCATTAAACGTCTAGAGGGAGCAGCCAACGGGGCATTAGAAGCCGGAGGCAAGTCATCAGTACTAGAAAGTGGAGGAAGTGTCAGTAGCCCCTCAGTTCACATTCCCGACACTTTCATCAGAGCTGTGGAGCCTGCAGATCATGTCAGTGTGTGCGCGAGTGTGCGTTTGCGTGCAACAGCTGGGAACCAAGTTTTATAAAGAGAAAGATTGTGCAAGAAAGAGGACACAGCATGAGAAGAATTCAGTTGTGCTCTTGCATGAGAGCGTTTACGTGTATGAAAATAAAATGAACAATTCTTAGAAAAAAAACATCTTAAATGGGTTGAAGGGCACGAGGAACTATTTTTGTAGAATCAAGAACTAGGTAAAATATGTAGAAATGCGGTCAGCTCTGGTGCGGACAGAGGGTAACTGTTTTGTGTGACTTACGGGCTATGAAAAGGACCACCCTGGAATCCATTTGTGTGAGGTCATTCCTCAAGTAACAACAGTAAGACTGCATCAGTGTGTCAGATGCCTGACTCAGACACATACCAGTCATCTTCTCTTTGCAAACTTTTACTCTCACACACACTCAAAGGGATGTGAAAGATGTGGCAACCCCAGAACAAGGGAGGAGCCGAAAGAAAAAACATTTCATAGTATAAACTGATTGTTTTTTTAATCACATGTATGATTTTAATGTAACTCACATTGTGTAATGATGTTAAAGGCAATGTGATAACTATCTATAGAACCAGTACACCGATG